ATATATATATATATATATATATATATATATATATATATATATATATATATATATATATACATGGTTTTCCTGGAGCAAGGGTATTTAAAGGGCAAAGTAATCTCAAAACCAAACGATTTTATTTTTAGATTTCTTTTTTCCCTGAGTTCTTTCTGACGCAGGCTCCTTTCACAAAAAAGAAAGAAAAACTTAAGCTAAATATATTGGTTTAACAACTCTTATTTGGTGAGTGAGGCAGTGATTGTAATATGAAACATACATCATTGATCTGATGTCATATTCTAATCTAATCAATGGTGATAACCATTGATATCGGTGGTGGGAATATTGTGATAATCAACTGCGGAGGCATTAAAAAATTAGGCCAAATCATAATCATTACTACAACATCCAAGAATAATATTGCTATATTGTTTTCTCAATATATTGCATCCTTTGTTTAAAGTTTTGTTTTTCATTAGATAACATTTTTTGAGTAGAAGTTACATTGATGTTCAATGAGTCATGACTTTAACCTTACAGAGGGAGGTGAAAATTAGAGTGATGGTAATGAGGCCATTACCAAAGATACATTCTTGAAGTGCAGAGCAGTTGTTAGATGTATCTTTGAATTTAATAAAATTTTATACAGTACAGACCAAATATTTGTACACACCTTCTCAATCAAACAGTTCTCTTTATTTTCATGACTATGAAATTTGTAGATTCAAACTGAAGCCATAAAAAAATATGAATTAACACATGTGAAATTATATACTTTGAGTTGAATGCCAAGAGTGTCTCAAGCAGTAATCAAAGCAAAATGAGGCTCCTTTGAAAATCTAGAATATAAGACATATTTTCAGTTGTTTCACACTTTTTTGTTAAGTATATAATTGCATATGTGTTAATTCTAAGTTTTGATGCCTTCAGTGTGAATCTTCAATTTTCATAGTCATGAAAATAAAGTCTTTGAATGAGAAGGTGGGTCCAAACTTTTGGTCTGTACTGTATATGATCACTTTTATTAATAAAAAAGGTTAATTACCATTTTATTGCCTTGTTTTTGCCCATATAGTAAAAATATTCTTGGCAAACCATTCATCAATCTGTCATGTACTGTATCACCCTTCACCTATTTCACCTTATAAAAAATGCTCTGAGACAAAAACGGCATATCAGCAATATAAAACATAAAAACAGTGCACATATATAAGCCACATTTATCCTGGAGGCTGAATAATTTACCATTTTCACAAAGCTCAAGACAAAATACTATAGTGTAAATAACCTGTAGAAAATAAAGTCTTATTTACTGGTTTATCTTGACAATTAGCAATTAATTTACCCATTATTTTGCATTTACACCGGACACGATTCCTGCAATTTTGTTGCCACTTTAAGGAATTTTCTCTTGCTGGACATATTTGAAGACATGCTCGACATCAATTTGCACTGCGTCATTGAATGGAAGGATCTTCTCCCTGCTGCCTGCAGATTTCACCTAAACAGGTGGTATCTGATGTTACTGAGCGAGTTGTGGGGGAGATTGGTGCAGTAGTGAGCGCCACAAGGCGACAGGTGGCCTTTACCAGCTTTGAAGCTACAAAAGGGCTAAATTAAAACTGCTATTTAAAAGCTCGCCAGACACCCCTTAATATGAATTCAAGAACGGGGATACCTTTCTGACTCAAATCTAAAGAAATGTCCCTGTGGTATAATTCAGTGACAGCCATGTTATCCCAACGCCAAAGAACTCTGAGCTTCTTATGGTTAAACATCACATTTGTAACCATGCCAAGGGTAGATAATACCATAATGTAGAGCAGAAAATTCAAACTTCATGGTTTTCTTTAAAAGGTTGGATAAATTATCTGTCAAGGTCAGGATGCTGTAGGAAGGTGGTTGATCCACACCCTGGTCTTTTTTGATCCAGCATATATATTCATCTGCATCTACTGCATATTGTAACTTCACCCTTTACTGTTTGCCTGTTTTTTATGTGTCTGCTATGCATTGCAGCTAGTAGTAGAGATGCTCACTAACAGATCCATTAAAGTAGGGTGCTAGGGTATGAGTCATAGCAGGAGCAGGTTTCCAGGCCAGGAAACCAGAGAGCAAAAGAGGTACCGAAGGAGAATCCACTCTGACGTCAGGAGACAGATCCAAGGTAATTTAGCAGGCAGAATACAGGAATCAGTCCAAAAACAGATGAGGCAAACAGAGCAGAAACAGGGGCAAAGCAAAACTCGGAAGACCAATGTCAGAAACTTGTCAGGATCAGGAAATCAGAAACGCACAGAATCGCTAGAGTTACTCTAACACACAGCTCAGACCATCTGGGACCAATGGCTGGGAACAGGCAGCTTAAATAGAGCCAAGAACAGGTGGATCTGATGAGAGACAATGAGTGCTGGGCAAAGCTAAACCAATGTGAGAAAGGAGCCAAATTCAACATCCAGAGCCATGATAGTGACAGTAAGAGGTTCTGGATATTTCTAATGATACTCCCACCTGTGGCCAAAACACAGAACTGCAGCAATGTGATGCTCAGTCTTGTAGCTTGTGGTTATACTTAACAAGATTATACTTTTTTTTTTACTTTTTTTTACTTATGTGAAGCTGCCATTGTTTTCAGTAGCTTCTGAGTATCTACAAAATCCATCTTGAATATAATACTTTGAATGTTTGTTAGGTCGAACCCATTCAACATAGATGCACTTGAAGTCACATCTGCCAAACAGTGCGGGAACTTCCAACCCGGATTATGTTCAGGAAGAATTGGCTACAGGCTTCTAGATGCATCGGCACTGAACTCCTGAGGGGTCAGACTGTTTATTAAATTATGTTTTAGTTGTAAAGAGTCAAATAAAAAGGCAGTTTAGAGATGTTTTCAGCGAAAATGTACTTAATTTCTCTCTATAAAAATCAACTGCTCAGTAAAACATTGTATTTATTTCTGGATGGAGCTTTGATTGGATATATTTGGTATGGGAACATGAAAACCATAGTAGGATAATGCAGAGACATATTTAAAACCTTAAATGTTGATTGAGATACAGTAGCTGCTGTACAGTATGTTGTTGTCATGGTCTTGGTGCGGATTTTTGGCTTTTTCATTTGCTCCTGGTCACCTGTCCCATTGGCCCGGCAGGTGATTAACGCAGATTGTTTCCACCTGGTTCCCCAGCTATTTATGCTGTCTGTCAGCCTTCCGTCAGCACCAGATTATTCAAGCTGTTGTGAGAGAAACTTTCAACCGTGAGTTAGCTGTTTTGCCTTGCCCTTGTCTGCTCTGTCTGTTTTGGCTTTTTAAATTTTTTCCTGGACTCTGCTGGTTACCGATCCTGGACTGTTTCACTGACATCGGCTTGGATTCCCCTCACGGACACTGTTGTTCCCTCAGCGTCAGCTGGCATCAGCTCATCTTCACTTGGGGTTCGGGATGCAGCCACGGCATCAAATGAAGGTCAGTGATTTTTGCTCCAAGTCGTGATCAGCCCGACATTCCTGTTACTGACCTGTGTTTCCTATCTTTGCAGAGTATCTGCCCCGCTGATGCCTACCCGCTCACTGTTAACCTTTTGTTTAAAAATAAAGCTGGTTGGAAATCATCCTGGTCTGTTTGTCTGAACATTGAGTCCTAGTTTCTGTGGCTATTACAGTTGTAAGTTCAGGCAATACAACAAAATTGAAATTAGATATATAGATCCTTTCAAGAATGCGCAGAGCGGAACCTCTTACTTTGATTGAAAAGTCATTAACCCAATATAACTCTGGATATATATTTTATGTTTTTTTCATTATTTAAAGCACTCAATATATTAGAAAAAAAACACCCATATATATATATATATATATATATATATATATATATATATATATATATA